CGATACGGCGCTGAAAACGTGTTTATACGCGCCAAAAGTTTGTCTTTGACAGTTTTTTGATTGTTTGACTCAGTACGTTGTGAGCGCTCGTCAAAGATGGACACCAGCAAAGAGAAAATTCGCTATATTTTACAATTTTTCTTCGATCAAGGCGAAAAAGCAGCCAAAGCGACTGAAACAATTAATTTAGTTTATGGGCCCGATACTGTAAACGAACGTGTAGCACAAAAGTGATTTGCTAGGTTCCGTTCCGGTAATTTCGATGTCAAAGATGCACCATGCGTCGGGAGGCCTGTCGTCGAAAATTGCGATAAAATCATGGAAATAGTGGAAACAGACCATCACGTGATGGATTCAAAAAGAAGTTCGATGTTTGGGTGCCACACGAACTAACGCAAAAAACATGATGGACCGAATTTCAATCTGCAAATCGCTGCAGAATCGGACCAAGACCGGATTGACGGCCAGGAAGGTTTTGCTGTGTGTTTGGTGGGATGGGCAAGGAATCATCTACTGCGAGCTGCTCCCCTATGGCCAAACGCTCAATTCGGCCCTATACTGCCAACAACTGGACCGATTGAAGGCAGAACTCATCCAGAAGAGGCCATCTTTGATCAACAGAGGCCGAATTGTGTTCCATCAGGAGAACGCCAGGTCACACACGTCTTTGGTGACGCGCCAGAAGCTCCGGGAGCTCGGATGGGAGGTCCTAATGCGCCCACCTTATAGTCCGGACCTGGCACCAAGTGATTACCATCTTTTCCTGTCCATGGCGAACACGCTTAATGGTGAAAAGTTAGCCTCAAGAGAGGCCTGTGAAAATTGGCTCTCCGAGTTTTTTGCCAATTGGGACGCAGCCTTCTACGAGAAGGGTATAATGAAGTTGGCATCTCGTTGGCAACAAGTTTATGAACAAAACGGCACATATGTGACTTAAATCGGACAAATGCACACAAAGTTATCATCTTTTGAAAAACCGAACGAACTTTTTACTTTACCTAATAAATTTGAAAACAAAATTAAAACAAAAATATTTGCCGACTAATTTAACAGTGGTGTGAGTAGAACATGTAGATAAGGCGTCTAGAACGGCATGCAATACTTCATGTGACAACAAATATTTGTGTTTTGCACATAAAGATGAGCAATTATGAGTTAAGAAAATTAAATGGAGCCACGTGACTTCGCGTAATGGTATCACTAGGCATAGCAAAGTCTTCGAAGAATTTGGAATAGCTAGATTGGCTAGATTCAGAAAATTCAAGCAAATAATTATCAAGAATAATTTCAATAAGGATGACGATTTAAGCATGAGAAATTTTATAGCTCTGGGATATAATATATATCAGCAAATGAAGGATAGTGAAGGGCATGATACAAACTTGCATGAAAATATATTTTTTGTGAGAAAATATATATAAATAAATTGAAATTTATATTGAAACTATCCATCCATTTTTAAAATGAATCCATTGTACCTAATTTTATGTTAATAAAAGATGAATTTTATATAAAATTTATGATAGATAGGTAGATAGAAAACTAGCTCTATCTACAAACCAAATGTATTCAATTCTTGTTGTTGTTCAGTCTGCCTGGAATTTAAACAAATTTAGTGGCATACCTTGTGACAGCAAAACAGGAAAGGAATTTTTGGGATTAAAAAAATACTGTAACAATTGTTTTAAAATATTAAGCGTATATTTATAAATATTTTCAGAAGAAATATTAAACTTTTGGGAGAAAAGTTGAAATATTTTTCGAGTTACATACGATTTCCGACGGCATGAAAAAGAGGTCTCGCCACAGCTTTAGTGATTTCGACCTTCTCCGTAGATGAAACCTAGAAAAAATTCTGTACTTGAAGATATTGCCCATACAATAAAAAACTACGAAATGGCGGTGTTTTTTAAAATAAATTTACCCCAATTTTTGGTCACTTTTGACTTGCCAACATGCAGAAAACATTTGGTAGTGTTCAGATAATTTTTCTCGTAGTTATTACTACCGCTAATTTCAAAAATGCTGTTTCGAGAAAAACGGGTTCAAATATAAAGTAAAATAGCAATGCAACTATCTAACTGTCGAGCGGCTACTTTTTAAATGGATGTAACTCGAAAACAATTTGAGATATCGATTTATAATTTCAGCATGTTTTTTTTGATAAGCTATCAAAATTATATTTGGTATAAGTTATCGAAATATGAAAACAAAAACTAATTTTTTTTATTAATTTCAAACTAGTTGGTCTTTTATGAATATAATTTATTTACAATATAAATTTTTCTCATCCTATCACAAGCTTATTATTACCATCGGGGTATGTGAATGCAGTCAAAGTTGCTCCTGCGCTCATGCTATATGCAAAAATAAAATAACTATTTCTCACATTTCATAAGATGAGTCAACCACTCAATGATATAATTAGAACAAGTGTTCCAAAAATAAATTAATCTTGAGCGCATGCCAAGATATCACATTTGCCAATTCATTATACGTATTACAAACTGCGACAATTGTTTACAAAACCAAAACAAATGCAAATACATAAACAACAAACCGAATGCATTTGACGGCCTCGACACGAGCTGCATATGAATCACAAAAAGAAAACTGCAGCTCACATTACGGCAATGTTAAATATATGTACGAGTACATGGGTGTGAGAGTTATTATTTAATGAGAGTCATGAATGAGAAAATAAAAGTATGTATTTTTGACAAAAACTCTCAAATGCTAAAAATATAGCACAGCAAATGAATCCACCTCAAAGGTAAAAAAAAAATTAACATTAAAGTAATAACTGGCGAAAATGACAACAAAAACAGTAAAAAATCATTACATGCATTGCGACATTGTTACGTTATAAAAGAGTAACAATGATAACAAATGCTTTTTAATACTTGCACAAATAAGTGATGAAAGTAATTAGCACTAATTTAATAGAGCGTGTGTTCGATTGTAAAAATTTTGTGTGCCGGTTTTGATGTAACTTTTACAAAAAGCGTAAAAATTGATAAGTACACATATGTATTTAGAACACTAGCTAGAAGTTATATTATTATTAGAAATTTAGGATTATGAACTTTATTTTTGATAAAATTGGGTGTAAATTTGTCATACAAGCACTTGATTCCGATCGTTCAATTTGCATGCGCCATTTTCTACTGATACGAACTGAAGAATTTCTTCGAAAATTGCACCATTGCCTTCGGCTATTATATATGCAAAATAGTGAAGATATTTCGTCAAATGAAAAAGTTCTCCATACAAGCACTTGCTTCTGTCGTTCAGAAAAGGATTGGTTGAACTCTCACCTAACCATCCATTTAAAAATTAATATTTTGCAGCACTTCATTTATTTTTGCTTTAGTTTATAGCCACGACAATTCCATATCCACCACATTAACTCGATATTCGAAAGTTTCTTTTTCTCCGTCAAAAATTACGTATACGACATGGATGTCCTGGCGATTCGCGACTATGCTGTTTGAAGTGTGTTGAAACAGTATGTTTGAACTTCGAAAATTATGAAGTAAAATTAAAGAAAATATTAAAAAATATCGGGGGCGAATGCCAAAGGAATATTAAAACCCTAACCTAATTTTGAAATTATTCTAGCGTAACAACTTGCAGTTTTGAATATATAGGATCATGAAAAGCGACGACTCTTCTAATGAGACATAGCAGCACTAATAACATCGGGGGTAGGTTTTGCTGTTAGAAGTGACGTCAATAGGTTTTAATATACCTTTAACATAGTATTTTACTCAAAACAGTGGGAACTTTCTTTTATTTAACGTTTCTAAAATTTCTATCTGCGTTGAAAGAAATGGAAATGAAACATTTTTGGATTTCAAATAAACTTTTCTTAATATTGAATTTTTAAACACCATATAATTAAAAAATTTACTAATGTTTTTAAACATTTTCTTTACTATTGTGACGCTTTTGAAGAGTTTTATTTTGAATTTAGAAATATGCGAATCCAGCGCTGTGTAATTTGGTTGTAAGAATTGAGATTCGAGTTTTAGCGATTTTGGACTTTTTGTATTTTGAATTATTTTAATTTAGAATTTGGTAATTTTTGAATTTCGCAGTTGAGTATTTCGATTTAATTATGAGAGAATTGATTTTGAATTTAGAACTTCGTACCGACTCTGATATGAGTTTGATATGTTAAAATGTTATGTATTTAATTTTGATAGCATTTTATATGATTTTGAATAAAAGGATCCTAAAACGTTGTAATTTTAATTAGTGAAACTTTGAGCTTCGATTTTAGGAATTTGTTTTAGCTTTCTGGTGCTCTCGAATTTATAAATTGCTTTGTTTTGAATTTAGAAATTTGTTGTCTTTTATTTATATATAATTTCAATTTTTAGGTTTATAAATTAAAAAAACGAATAGAATTTGGCCATTTTCACTTACTTTACTTTGACTTTTAAGGTTTTCAAAATCCAGATATTGATAGATATATTAAATGCCATTTTAGTTTTTTGATTCGCAAAATGTTTAACTTGATCAATTTTGAAGTTCGGTATTTTGAGGGCTTAGAATTTTTAAGAGTTTTGATTAAATTACTGTTGGTAGAGATCGGTTTCGCTAAATTGAATTTCGAAATTATTATTATATATGTATTAGACTAATATAAGCCATCTCAAAATAATTATTAACAAAATCCCCGCATACAATCTCTTAATTCCTCGATTTGGTGAAACTCTTAGACATTTAACTAAGCATACATATGCAAATTATTCAACTAATCTAGTAACGATTTCGCTTTCAAGCATTTGTGCTAAAATTCTTGACTAACTTAAACTAAAAATATTTTATACTTATTCCATAAAAGAAACCTGTTTGAGCGATTTATGAATGAATACAAATAGAATATTTTAGCACACACACATACACACACATTGAAGTCTTAATAATTGGCAGTTAATTGCATTATATTGCATTTATATTAAATTTTCATGCTTTTGGTGGAACTCACTGACCTCCAGCACACAATCGCCCGACTTCAGACCGCTCATTTCCGCTGCGGTATGCGCATCGACCGCGCTCACCTAATGACAATGGAAATCGAGAACGAATGCATGAGTGGAAACGGCAAGGAAAAGTGGTTAGCAAATAATATTACAAAATTACATAATGTATTTATGTATCTACAAATATATTTATTTATGTTGAGCTCAGCGATTGAGAGCCGAACGCTAGGCATTTGTTTTATCGCTAAGCATGCGCAATGAAGCCCTTTTAATCACTTATACGCACCCACGGATAGGGATCCCACTTGGTGCGTGTCAAGTGGAAACCACACGATTCCGTTATAGTCTTTCGTATGCGCAACAAACGCACCGAGGGCTCATAATGTGTGTAAATGTTGTCCGAATTGGAGTCGATTGATTCGTCTCCCTCATTTTCATGAGCAAAACTATTCTTATATTCCGAAGAATTTTCACAATCGTTCGCACATTCGTTCTTCATCGTTGTGAATTTTCCGTTAATTTAATTTACAACCGTAACATTGGTGGCGTGTATTACACCAACCGCGGCGTCTAAATTCTACTGACTATGCAGCGCACAGCAGATCGTCTTCACACCGGTAGGTGCTGACATTTACAATACAATACATTTGCATATTTAAGAGCACATACATACATACACACGACATAAACAATGGCTCGGTGCGGCTAAGATCGTATGCACGCGCCGCAATCCGCTCTGCTAAGCTAATTTTGATCGCAGGTGTGCTATGCGCAGAGTTGCTAACGCGCTCACACACACACGCACACGTATGTTTGAGAGAGAGCGACAATACGCTCTCATTTTGCATATTCACGTGCGAGCGACAACAATGCTTCCTTTGCGCATGTATACACTTTGTTGGTGTGAGTGTAAGTGTGTAAGCTGAGAGCACCACCTTATTTGAGAGATTTGGCTTTTTTCTCAGCTGTGCACAAATTTTGTTTGTAATCTAGAGCATCGTGCTATGGATGATATAATGTAAAGTATATAGCCACCTATTAATTTACTCTGGGGACAGGTTTACGAGCCAGTTATTTATATTAATGGTTTTTATTTGAATTATATTACTCATTCATCAAGGTCAGCGCTGGACAGCTGATACGCGTTGAGATACGAGTTATGGAGAGATAAACTCGTTTTCAACTTTTGGGGAATTAGAGAAAAATAATTAAGCCTAGAACCTGTATAATGTTTAGTTGAATGCTCACTTTGAAGGATTCTATAATTGATTTGTAGGCAGTTACTCCAGAGCAAGGAGCTGCTTTAAAAGATATTTAAGTCTATCAGATGAAACTTCTTTGTTTCGTAATGACTACTGCTAATTGTTTAAGGAGTGTGATCAAGCGACTGGAATTTCTGGTTCGGAATATATTAGGGAAGATACAGGCTAATATAACTTAAGATATAAGTTTGATGTGGGAAAAGGAGGAGTTAAATAAATCTTGCAACTATAATAATGAGGTAAACTAGACAGCTTTGTGATGGGAATCTCAATCGCCGAGTGATAGTGTTTTTTTGGTAAGTGTATTAGTTAGGACGATTTTAAGTTATTAAGCAATAAATCTTTTGTTCTACAGTCGAAAAAATCTCTAACAAAATCTTATAGCAATAACTTGCTATAGTCGATCGATTCTACTAGAAAGCGTTAGCTGATTATATGGAATATGACTAAGTGTACTCCATAGAATAAAGATAATGAGAGTTATGAGATACGTAGTTTCTGTAGAGGTTCAATATGAAGATGAAGTTACCACGACAAAAGTTCATCGACGATTAGACCCCCAAAGAATATTCCTTATGTGAAAGGCTGTGCTGCGGAATCTACTAAGTATATAAAGGAAGAGGAAACTTGTGAAATACTAGGCTGGGATAGGGCGCAGCGGTAAGGAGCGTTATCATGAGCTCAACTGTTAAGATAAGTAAAAAGACGATGTTTACAAGTGCTTCAGAAAATATAATTATTCGTATAATAATTATCTTATTTATTCTAAGCAATAAATAGTCACTTTATCTGCCAAATGAAGTCACTAATTAAATATAACAAAAATATAAAAATAAACAAAGATAAAAGCAAAACGTCGAACGCTTACAAAGGAAATAATCTTTCAGTATTCTACCTTCGAAATTGTCAATTATGGTGATAAGGCCTCCACTACGTTCTTACGTGACAAGATATTAATTAGTAGTGTTATTGAATTGTATTACTTGAAATGTCCCAATAAAAACTGTAATTAAAATAAATAAATTATTTTTTTTATATCTTCAAATTATTATATTACGAAATTTTCGTGATCTAAACATAGAAATAGGTGTATCAAGGAGTTTTCTATGTACTTACATAACTTTCTGTATGCTTATGTCAAGCTCGCGACTTCGAGTCATTTGCAGAATATGCTGATTGACCAAAATTACTTTGGTGGAGGTCGGTACTGTCCGATTTAGCCGATGCCAAAATCACCTGGGAGGCCACATTTGTTACGTTACGGCTGAGATATTGTTGGATATGTGCGAAGTTACTAAATACATAAACTTCCCAACTATTTAAGTCAAAATTGGGGCTTTGTTTTAATACAAATATAAATTATATACCTCCAAACACCAGACATATTAAATTCGTTTTAATTTCAATAAAGTGATATAATGAATTACAAAATTATATCGAAAAAAAATTGTTACAATTTATTATCATATCAGATTGTCCGTGTGAAAAGTCGTTTTTAAGTTTTTAAATTGCTTTCACAATTGTGTTTAGTGGTTTTATACTCATTATTAATATAAAACTAAATGACTGTCAAACAATTTGGTAGAGTAAAGTAACAAAATATAAGAACCTAATTTTAAGATTTAAATATTTTCAAATGAAAAATCTAAATTTTTCACACATTGAACCCTTTTTACAGTCTTTAGAATTGATGATACAAATATTTTTATTTTTTGTGGTTTAAGCCCTTTATAACCGAGACAATGTTAAGCTCGTAATGACATTTTAACCGACTGACCCACATACAATTTAAGGCGAAAGTGTATGAAATGGGATTATTTGCCATTATCACCATTGTAACCACAATTTCTATGTATAATAAAGCACAGAAAGGCACAAATGATGACTTTTCACAAAAAAAGTTCAGAGTAAGCTCTAAAAAGCATACAAACGGACAAGCGTCTCTTTCTATGAAATTTGTAGCATTTTCTGTACATAATGGAAATTATGGCTTCATTTTTCACACCTTAGTAAAAATACAAAAAAATTACAGCTAATACAAATATTACAACAACAGCGTTGTCGAAATCCATTGAACAGATAATTAAGCTCCAAGCAAGCATGACAAGTCTGCGTGCAAAGCCTTTTATTGCACAAATAAATATATGATCGTGTGTGTGAATGTGAGCCATTGTTTGTAGGCAAACAGAAAAATTTATAGTATATATTTTAGCACATATGTGGTATGTGGCGTTTTAGCGCTCTTTGTAGTTCTCGCCGTCTCGGCTTGTAGCCATGTCTTCCCACTGACCATACATGCGCTGGCACGCAATTGTTTGTTTGCCATTTCAATAACGTCAATTATAATCAACTGTGCGACCCACAGTGTAAACACACACACATATACGCATACAGATGATCTATGCGCTTCGGATTGACTACATGACAGCGGCAGCGGTTTTACAATTGCTCTTTGACAGCATCCGTTTAGCAGCCGCAGCTTCTGTTCGATGGCCCACACACACAAACACACACAGAAATGAGTATTTGAACAGCTGATTGTGCTAAATAAGCAACTATAGTAATTTTTGTGAAAAAAATAATCAATAAAATTGAGTTTGCGGTTGCAAAAGTTCAGCGCTCCTCTGACGCAGCGACCGTTGGTGACTTTTGGCAATGAGCGCAGCTGTTGATTCCCCGTTGAACTCGAACCAAAACAGTAATTGTCTTGCAATTTATCTAATTATGTTCGCAAAATAGTTTTGTATGTTCGAAATCGAAAAAATGTATATATTTTTAAATTAATTTGTAAGAGTGCATTTACCCTTTGAGTTAAGTTCAGTTCTAAATTTTTGGAAACCACATGAATGAAAGCTTTTAATCGAAAATAAATTATTAAATTAGCTATTCAGTTTCTGTTTGTTCTCCAAATTTTCTATCATTTTGGTAAATTTTTTGTTTCTAAGTACAATATGAGTAGCCTTATGGGCACATCGATTAAAGGGGTACCCAATTTGACAGAGTGTCACTGACCAAGCTTGAATTGTACTTCACGGCTTTCGGCTGTGACGTGCATTTAGCGTATACGAACTTTATTGAGGAGAGCAGTTTAATTATAAAAGTATCTAGTTTTACTTGGTAATCTGGAATGGCTTGAAACTTCATAAACTAGAACAAAATCGGCTGGAGTATTAATTTACAAATTGTCGAAGATATTTTTAATTATTCAGATGAATGTATCGATAACTAAATTTGTTGAGGAAAAATACCATGAAAAATAACTTATACATCTACTGATGGTAAAGTGGTTCAAATTCAGAGAATAAGGTCTCAGCTGCTCTTTCTATTGACACATTTTAGCCTTAAAAAACTATTTTAGCTTCACACAAGAAGTAGTTTACAAAAGACTCTATATATGTCCGTCTATCAATGCATACGCAAACTAGTCCCTCAGTTTTTGAGATTACGACCCGAAAATTTTCACACGTCCTTTTCTCCCCAGACCACTACATCCATGCAAACTGAACAATCGGCATAAAATGCTTATATGAAAAACTTTTCCATTTGACGAGATAACTTGACAAAATTTCTCATAGATTATTATCTAAAGCATTGCTAAATCCCCGAACATATTGTTTAGATCAGATTATTATAATATATCGACGCCATATAAACTGGCCGATAAAATCAGGATAAAGATCTTTTTATACCCTTTTATTCTATAAAAATTACACCTGTGATGGTTATTCTAGCTTTGATCTAGCGGAAGTTAACGTTATTGTTGTTTTTAGCTGCCCTCGATTCGTAATATTTCTACTCGCTAAACTTGAGCGCTGCTCTCTTCTCATGAAATGAATATGTGAGCGTAGCAGAATTAGAATTTCTCTACCGCATATGTCATACATATTTGAACATCTTGTTAAATTTGTACCATTCGCTATCCTATAAAACAAGATGAATCCAGGACAAAGCTTTGAACTTTATACTCGCAAAAATAAATGGAAATGCTTTTATAACGTTAGGTTTAAACCAATCTTGACAACGCGTTACATTTTCACCCAAATTGCTTATTTTGATCACCAACTAGTCAAGATCCTAAATAATTTTTACTTCCAAAATAGTTTCTTAGCAGTAAGATTTCTAAAAGTATAAAGAACTTTCCACATCAAACATTTGAAAATAATTTTAAACATAACAGGCAACGAATAACTCCCACACAATGCGCACTCACTCAAGAAAGCTACTCAAAAAGCTCCGCCACGCAAGCTTACACTCAACTTTGGCTAAATGCAATGTTTTTAGCCACAAGCGCTAATGTGTTTGGCAGTAACAATTTTCAGATTAACACGGGTCTTTGAGTGGCGCGCACATATGTCTCTTAGTAAAGCTCGCGCATGCGCATTGAGAAAGCCAAAGTGAATTGTGCAAACAAGGCAAAGTTTTGCGAACTTTACGCGAAAAGAAATAGAAGAAAATAGCAAAGTTGTGAAATTATTTACACATGTGCATAATATTCGGTTGCACCGTTTAACTAACCGTACTAACCGACTTGCCAGAGTTGAGCAGAGCGCGCGCATGCGTTGGCCGAAGTGTTGCAAGATCAAGCGCGTAAGTTAAAAGCGAGATTGTGTTTCAATCATTTCAAAAAAGATGAAATAATGTGAATAAATGCGACAACTATTGAAGTAAATCAGAGCTTAAAAGAAAATCATATAAAAAAAATTTTAATTTGTAAAAAAAAAACTAAAAGTACTAAAAAAGTGATATTTTTGTGAAAACTAAAAAAAAAATATATATATTTTTAAAGAAAATATTGCGCTAAAAGAAGGTCTTCAAGAATATTTACGCTGCTTTTGGTAAGTTTCGAAAACCGGTATATAGTTCTCGGAAATTTATGTATAATATTTTCTGAAAAAAATGCCGAAATTTAAATAAAATTGTATTTTTTAAATCATTGAGCATAAATAGCTTTTATTTACCAAAATTTATTTATTTTTGCCAACTACTGTCATAATGACTAAAAGCCATAAATATTTTCCAAAAATATTTTTCAAATAATGAAACAGTTTGTACGCATTTAACATTTACCAATTATAAACTTTTTTTTTACCAACTCATGTCATGTTTATGTGACAATCATCTGTAAGCATTTGATGACTAAACACCTTTAATTTCAAATTAGGTCTTATGCAAATGCTTTGAAATAAAGCCCTTCGTATTAGTCGTTCGTAATCAAATCATGTTTTGCCGCACGTGCATCGAAGCAGTGCGACCAACGTGATGCTGCGCCAATCAGTCATATGTGGGTTTCACTGAACTTTTTTGTTTATTAAGGTGACTTGCTAATTGACACAGGTGCTTGAAATATTTTCTGCTTCTTCTCCTTCTTTTTCAATATGCAAATTTAAATGTTATTGAACTGATTAATTTGATCAAATAAGAGTTTTGACTTCATTTCCTTAAATATAAACATACAGTTACATTAAAACTGGAATAATGTTACTCAATGCCAACCGGTATTCTTATTGTGGAGTGTTTTAACCGGAACAGTTTATATTCTTATTAATTTCGGAGTTTATAACAGCCTGAAGAAAACGTCGGATATTATATAAAGTATATTTATATAAGTGATTAGCGTGATATGCTGAGTCGATTTAGCCATGTCCGTTTGCCTGTCTTGCCATCTGTCAGTCTGCATATGCGCGAACTAATGCTTCCATTTGTGAGATATCGAATTAATCGATTATCGTTAAACTACTTATATGATTGAAACGCCGATATGAGACTATTATTGCATATAGCTGTCATACAAACTGATAGATGAAGTCCTTGTATGGGAAAATTTTTTATTTGAAAAAATGTTCTCATAAAAGTTGGTATGATTGTCCAAGTTAATACTACAACACTAATATTGTTCAGATCAAACTACTATAGCATATAGCTGCCATACAAACTCGCCAATAAAAATCAAGATAAAGATATGTATCACTTTTTTTTTTATTAAGTAGCCTTAATTCAACTAACGGCACCATAACAAAAACCACAAAAAGTAATCTTATTGAGTTAAATTACATCACTAAGTTGCCAATTAACAGACTACATTTTCATATTATTTGGTTACCAAAAGTTGGTTTCTAATAAAGTAAAGGTTTTACTCGCTGTATGGTTGCTGCAAAAAAGGATCTTAAAATTAGGCAATTCTGCTCATTAAGAATTTTTTTAGTTAGAGGTTCTCATCGATTCATTTTTTTTATTAGTCGGTTTGAACAGTAACGTTCCGAAAGGATATGCTTAATCCTGGAGTTTGCACGTCGTTGGGAAATTTCAGTGTCTGAAAGCTCTTTTTATTATTTCGCTCTGCTCAGTAGTGCTTTAAATCCGTTGCAGTATCTTTGTGTATCTGTGAACCTATCTAAGTCGATTGAGGACGAAGCTTTCGTCGAACATTTACTCAAATTTAACTCGGGAAAAATGCGGTCTAAAATTTTACTCGTAAGACATAATGTATTTAGAATCTAACTGCGACCATATTGCTTTTGCATTCGCTAACCTATTTCCTACATTCTGTTAGTTGATTTCACTCCTTTTTGGATAATATTAAAAACAATTTCGTAACTCACAAACAAATAAAATACCGTTAATATATAGGTTATCATTTCAGTATCTACCATGTCCACAATGAAGGTTTATAGAGTTCTGTAGTGTTACTATACATACAAGTACATATAGTTTCAAAAATAATTGTGATCCAACCACTTATGATGAAACTTTTAGGGGATGAAGTAAAGGTCATCTTAATGTGCTACTCTATATACAAAACTAGAAGCCTTTTATTCATTTTCCTTATACACCAAATGAAGTGATCAACCCTAAGTTATGAGGGATCGAATATTTTTAAATTGTTCCTTAGCAATTGGCTCAGATTATTTAAATATTATATTCTTAAGTTGAAGATCTATATTTACTAATTTGTCGTCATTAACCTCATTTACGTAAAAAAATCAGATTTTTTTTATTCGTGGAATACCATGTGTATTAGTAATGACAAATTGAATGACTGAATTGAGGTCATGAATTTTAATTTTTACTGATAACACTTTCCACAAATAATACATTTTCTACTTTAGTTGTTTCAGAAATAATTTATTAATAAGAATCAACACATCAAAACTAACAATCAGTCTGGAGTATAGTGAGGAAAGAGGATTGCAATTACTGTCAATGCGTCGACAATTTTACTTTATTTGAAAAAAAATGGAATTTTTCATAATCATTTCCAACACTACATCACCTAAACTCCTTAAGTGGGAAATTTTTTAGAGTACTTTCTACCTTAAATTATTAATCAGCAAAATAAATACTCGATGAACTGTGAAGCATTTTCATTAGCTCATATTGGGAACTTTCGTCTCTTAATTAAAACAAACATTTGAGCATGAAACTGGTTTCGTTAAAAAAGTACATGAGTACATACATATATAAAAATAAACAAAAATTTGTATAGAAAAGGTATAGGTAAGCCTATGCAACTAACAAATGCTTTGGTCGCACCAATGGCCACTTAAATACAAAATAAACTGCAACTAAATGAGGACACAGCCAACAATTTGTTGGTTTGTGACCACTAAACGGTAGGTAGTAAGTCCGATAGCCACTACAGACCTCTAGAGGAAAGTAAATTAATTTTTTAATTATTTTAGACGATGCAAAAGTTAATAATGTAAACATATTAAACATTTTCCGAATCCCCAAATGCCATTGGATCGCTAATTTTCCTATTTTAGTAGTCTTTTGTTGTGAAAGCACCGCCATAAACCTGCCGCATCTATATCAGCAAAAGATCTGCTATTTTTAAGTGAGCTGCGTTGAAGTAACATGCCACTTAAATGCAATGTAAGCACTCGTTTGTCTAGCGAATGGCGATATCAAAAACGCATACACGCGGAAGCTCTGCGCACTCCGCTTAACTGTCAGGGGAATAAAACGCATGCGCAACAATTGTTTGCGGCAAGAGGCGATTGGGCCACATTGGCGCGTTTGTTTGTATACACTAAATAGTAGTTTCGCATGCTCTGCGTCGGTTTTTGTTTTAAAGAGCTTTATTTGTTTTTACACATTTGTGGGTTGGCGCTGAGCTGCCGGTATGACGGCTTGGCGGCGGGTCTGGCCGATATATATGAGCTATGAATTTGCTAATGCTTTGGGAGCGTATACACACAAGTAAACCTACAAACACACAGACGAGGTGTGGTTTCGGTATTGCCGCTTGTGACGTAACCGTTTTGCTTGGAGCCGCCGACTATCTTTTCTTTTTGTAATGTTGCTGCATTTTCGCAAAGATTTTATTTGAAGTCGCTTAGGTACTGTGAAAAACTAAAAAAAAATTATCTTGTATGGATAAATATAAATATATATGCAACATATATATACTTACTTGTATGTATATATCATATATTCCCACTACCCAACTTTTTTATGTAATTTATTTTTTTCACTTGCACTCCCGTTGCATTCCTCCTACAATAATAGATATGTATGGGTATACAGGTATATACGTATATACAGTTATGTTATTATTATTTATGTGCAATGTGCTTAGAAATAAACCGCAGTTAATATCTGACTAACCGCAAACTGAGCAATTGGAGCATGAACGGCAGTACTTAATTATTTATTTACGAACGTTTGCAATGCTCAGGCGCCACATAAAATACACGCGTTAATTGTGCATCCAACGACTTTTATTTATAACTTAATTTTGTATTGATTTTGTAACTGTTCAATTGTGATTGCCTAATGGGGCATTGCCTCTGGAATAATTGAGCTCATTAAAGTAGACATAACTGTTAATGGCGAAAGAATATATGCAAACATCCTATATATTATATATATATATTTATATAATATATATTATAAAAATATAACTTATATAATATATAATTTATATAATATATATAATATTTATATATATATATATATTCAAGCAGGGCGTACTGCCCGCGATGAACCATATATATCCAATGCTTCGAAACACGTAACAGTCACTTAACAAGGTTATGGCGTCTATATTTAGGAATGAGCATTGAACACTATTTATTAATTACCTTGAGACGTAAAAATCATTAACTCATAGAGAAGAAAATGGCGAAAAATCTGTGCCATTTGAAGAAGAAGAGGAGGTGATGTCAAGATGTCTATTTCGATGTCAAGATGTCTATTTCTATCTTCCCAACGAAAGTTTCAAGCACTTGAGTAGAAGGTTTTCGAATTTCTAAGACATCGTCAAGTCTAGATACAAATTAATGAAAGTTCTTGAAACTAAGTCTACAATTCGTTCCTGAACACATACCAACGAAACACGAGTTGCAGTCTACTCTGATGTTGGGATTCTAAGAAAGACTTTGTTTCGAATAGTGAATATAATCCTTAAATAGTGAATATAGTTAGGAATGATGGGAAACAGCTCACGAATTTCTACTTTAAATATTCTGCAAACATATTTATTATTCTATACCGTCAAACCCTTTAACCATAGTTTCTTTGTAGAAAATATCATTCAAACCTTCCAAAAATTGATTTCGCATGAGATCTGCAGGTGACATATGTTAACCCAGCTAAGTCTTCTTGTTTGCCTTCGTGTGTATTCCAGTACCTGTAATAGGTCTATTAAGAATGTTTTTTGGCTGGCTGATCGCCGCAGCTCAACTAAAAATTATCGAGTGATTTTGCTAACAAAGCAACAATTGAGATAACTCAAGTAGATGGAAGTGAAACAAAGCTCGTGGTACTGAGTCACTTGATAGCAGATAAAAATATTATTTGGCATTTGAAGCACTTCCGTAATTGAACTCACGCT